GCTAGCAGAACCTTGTAGCAGTAAGAGTTAAAGTTTGAAGATATGTAAGAAGTTTTTACGTGACGTTACATGTTTAGCGTTTTGGCATGTTTGGCGGTGACAATCCCAATATCTGCTGCCTCTGTCCAGCGGACATTTTCAGCCCTCAAACGCATTAAAACTAGTGCTGGGCAAGTTAACGAGTTATTATCGCGTTAACGCATTCATTAATTGACACCGACAATTATTTTATAGCACGTTAACGCATTTTTTTATTTTGAAAGTCCGTGGAGGAAGTATTCAGCAGACTACGTTGATGCAACTTGTGGGAGAAGTTTAGATAAACAAAAGCAAGACAAGCGGCATTACAACGTGCACCAGCTGTTGCTCTGCCTGGAGACTACTGGGCATCGCTGCGGTAAAGTCAGCAGACACTTACTTTTAGTGCACCTATATGCTGAAATTCACGGTAAACGCATTCAAACGGCACAGGTCGGGAGCGAGCGAAGGACTTTGAAAGTTAGCGGAAATATTAGCGTGAGACAACATCCGGTTTCTTCAGACGAACATCCGGTTTTCAGAATAAGATGCCAACAAAGTATGAATTATATTCACATTAAGTATAAAACATGCTACCTGCATCTCGTGAGTTAAAGGGAAAATATACATATGATATAAGAATGATATAATATAAGAAATATGATCGCTACTGTGTAAAGAGAATACTGCTGTTAAAAAGCACCTTATTTGTTTTAATAAGTGTTTGCAAACCAAATGTTATTGCCCTTTTGTTCATATAGCAGTACTTTTAAAATAAAAGTGCGCAATACACTACTTTTGAATTCATTATTGAACTTTGTCATAACAATGCGATTAATCGCAAAAAATCCATGCGATTAATCGCGATTAAATATTTTAATCGTTGCCCAGCACTAATTAAAACGTATTCAAGAAATACAACTGGGACTGGTTCTTGTGAGTTTGTTATTGTCATTGTGTTAATTACATTGATTTTGACTATATGCATTGACTGTCACTATGACGCAGCATGGCGGGATGCTGCGTCATAGTGACAGCCCTGCATCCTTTATAGTTTTGCGCGTATTCATGTATCTGCACTCTGCAGTTAGTGTATTTGTAGCCCTCATATGTGTTGAGCTTCATGTAACATTTTATTTCACTTGTCAAATGTTGCATTGTTATGTGAATATGAGGTTTTTACACAAACAAATTAACCCGTAGCTGTGGTGTCATAATGAGGTTATTAGGAGGTGGTTCAACTGTAGTAGGACAGCATTGAAGGCCAAGGTATAAAATACTGTACATGGCCCGCAACTGTATAAAGTAAACTTTTTCATTACAGTTGCTTCTTCAGTCCACAAGACAGACAGTTTTTTCTTGGACGGTCATGCTCAAAGTCAGTGACGTTGGTCAAAACAAAAATGGAGTCATCTCTGAAAGTAATCAGAAATGCGGCAACTGCGTTTAAATCAAACATCTGGACTTATTTTTGATTTTTTAACAAGGAAGGCAAGAAAGACGTGAATGTGACACATGGGATTTGCAAAGAGTGCCGTATGAAAGTAAAAAACTCCGGAATTACTATGAACATGATGGCTCACACACCACCATCCAGAGATAGCGTTAACCGCTGACGTTAAAACAGCTCCACAGAAAAATCAACCAACACTGGACACTTAGCTTTGTCAAGCTAAGTTCCCATATGTATGAATAGAACCATCTCAGAAGTCATTTGCAGAGGCATTTTGGATCAGACACCATAGATAGTAAAATCATTGATAAAGGTAAGGCTGTGTTTTGACTTTGTAAAACATAGCTGCAGTTTTACCGACTGTAAGACTGCCTTACTGTAAAGATTTTGTAAACTTGTCACCCAAGTGAAGTAGCAGAGCAGCAGCTAATAGACAAATCAATCTTTAGTTCAGGATTAGATTAGGCAGGTAGTGTTAAAAATAATTTGAATGAATTACTGTGTTAGTTGGCTCTTCTTTATACTGAAGCAAATGGTCTGACGTTTAATTCATTATTACCATTCATTAGCAGTCATTCGATAGAGGAAGTACTGGCTACATACCTGGTGACTAGCACAGCAGTGTCCACTGGTGGGATGTCTTCCCATCCACCAGGGAAATGGTTGGTGCCAAGGTAGCGCAGCCTGCCAAATTCTTGATACTGCCAATGACAGAAGCTCTCCAGATACCTTTCTCCATGATGGCCCACCTTTAGCTTTTCCTGAAGAACAGATACAGAGCAGATTTACTTTGTGACTGTGTCTCCTTTTGCTTTAACCCTCCTATTAATGACCCGCACTGTTTGACCACACACACATACTAATTATTAAGAGAATGCCGACAAAATGACACAATTCGATTTGTGCACTATACTTAACATTTTATACACATTTCTATGAGAAAAAAACAGCTGCATTTTGACAATTCTTTCTTCTATTCTATTAAAGTAATGCAGGGACTGCCACTTTGTCTTTCATAGACAATTGCAAGGCAGCCGCCTCCGTTAACTTTGGTTCCTGCTCTCAACAAAAATATGACCAGTGTCTTCATGGAAAACAGCTTTTTCTAACAAGAGTAGCATTGGTGAATTTACAACTACAACTGTGGTATAATGCCGCTGTCGTGCAATATGTTCCCTTTGCTTATTATTGTAATAAGCAAAGTGAACCGGAAAATGGCGCTGCCAAAGCTGCCAACGCGGAAGAAAAGAGCGGTCTTTTTCCCTGACGTTCAAAGTTTCAATATACGTAGTGTAATATCGCCAGCTGGTGTTTGTAAATGCTGTTGCAAATGGCAGTCTGTGTTTGTGAATGCTGCTCCATGCACCTCTACATGTGTGATTGAACTACAACATCACTGCATCTGTTTACATCGGTGAAATTTTAGGAAATAATGTTTTTTTCCCCCCATTTTATCGAGAACATGATTGTAAACCGTCTGTAAAACATGTTATGATTTCATTAAGATAGCCTTCATCTGAGAACAGGTCTGCCACAAATACTACTGCTGAAAGCAGATCATTTCATTTAGAAAGTAAAATAATCAAAATAAATTTTTAAAGAGGCCCTATTATGCTTTTCCTCTTTTTCCCTTCCCTTTAGTGCAGTGGTTCTCAACTGGTCTGGCTGCGGAACACCATCACCCCTTAATGACAAGCCGCGACCCAAATCGAGGACAATTTTCAATTTCTCAAATGGATTTAATGAAAAGATGGTGCAGTTTGAACCTGAGCTGAAAATGTCCTCTGCAGTCGTAGTAGTAGGGAGCTCTCTTGTGCAGAGAAATTGTTCCTGTAAGTCCCCGTCCCACACATGCTTCACGTAAACAAGTAAAACTGTTTTGTTTGTTATGTCTGTAGATTCGTCCATTTGTAATGCAGAATGACCACTTGCCTAAATTCAAGCTGTGGTCTGTTGTTTGATGTCATCCGACATGTCTTCAATTCGTCTACTTATCATGCTTTCTTGTGCCAGAACCTCGCTGCACAAAACACACTGAGGTTTTTGCCCTCTTTTGTCCTCAATGTAAGAAAATCCATATCTCATGTAGTCGGTGTCGTACTTGCGTTTTGCTCAATTAGCATATAAAAACAAACTTGGCAGGTGTCTATAAGCATTACAAGGCATTGACGCCAAATACTGTTAAGGAGTGTGAATAGACGGCACTCCACTGCATAAAAAATCCCCTTCAAAAGAAAAGCGCAGGATTGTTTTTCTTTTTTAATTTATTTTCAGGCATGGGCACTGAAAACGGGTCCGCGACCCACTTTTGGGTCCCACCAGTTGAGAATCACTGCTTTAGTGTGTTATTTATATTTTTGTACATATAAAAGGTCTGTAAAGTTGTAAAGCTGAAGTCCAGGGGGTTACTCTCCCGCTCAGAAACACTGCTCCTGAGCCACCGTAACATAGTGAGTCACAATGTAACACATTTGCATAATACCTCCTATGGGCTAGTTTGGCACGCCCTCAAACAAAGCTAGTGAGACAGGAGCTGGAGCTCAGTCCGAAGAGTTTGGTTTGCAGCCATCATGTCGAGAAGATGCTGTGTTCTGCTCTGCGAGAGGAAATGTTCTTTGTATGGAGCACCAAAGGAAGATGACCTGAAGGACAAGTTGCTAAACTTCATTTTTTATTGCATTTTACAGAGGACAAGTTTCAAAACTGGACACAGTTTACGGATGGATTTTTTAAACGCTTACTGCTGAAATATGATGCTGAAAGACGATAGCGGTTCAGGATCACAACCTGTAATTATGATTTATTATTTGTGGATGTGCTAACGTTACTAGCCGGGTTCAAGTCCTCAGCTGTAGGCCACGGCTAAGTTGGTAACTAACGTTATTGTGTTCTAACGGCTCTGCTTATCAACTTTAGCCTCACAGCCACATAACACTGTGTAGAATATGACGGCTGAATATTTTAATATTAAATATTTTGATCTTGAATAGAGTTGAAGTGAGGAGGTAGGTTTGTAATTACAAGCTGTAGTGTTACGGCCGCTAGCCACTTTGATTTGGCTAACTTTCTAGCTATTTTCATGACTGTTACATCGCTGGTTTTTGGCTGGCTGTGAACTACTGGTCTCCTTTCATCAGTGGCGGGCCGTCAGGGCCTGCAAGGCCTTCTCTGCTGGCCTAAACAGAATCACAAAGCTATATCTATTTTATAATTTAATAATGTTTCTTAAATACACTACATGTATTATAATTTATAAAAATATTTTTCCCATTATCTTATTTTCTCATTGCACAGCTACTGTCTTCCTCAGTTGCTCTGCTTCCAGTGCAGCTTGTTTTAAGTAGAGCTTTTATCCAATCAGATTTCACCTCTGTGTCTCTAGGTAAGAAAGAGGCAGAGGAGTCTCAGGTGCATCCAGTGCAGATTAAAGGAAATGTGGACAATATTGTTGATTGTCATAGTGTTCAACCAATCAGATCTTTAGTTTGACATGTTGGGCGTATTCTTTGACTATCAGAGCCTGCGCGCCGGCCTATAATGACGTCAGCATTACATGCTGCTCAGTGTCCATGTGTAGCTTTGCCGCGAGGTGCGGAGTGTGCTGTGATTGGTCAGTGGGCGAGCACGTGACTATCGTGAAACGAAACTTAACAGCCAGCAGAGGCTGATGGGTAGTGAATCACATCACGTGATGCAGCTCAGCCAATCAAATATGGGCATTCTGACTGAGTGAGATGCACCATGACAGAGGAGACTGAGACGAGGAAAGACATTGCAGAGCAGTACGTTCAATGTTCAAGTTGTGAAAATAAAATCCTATGATAATCTCTTTGGGTCGTGGCTTGTTATTAAGGAATGATGGCGGATCCCACAGCCAGACAAGCTGAGAACATATTTTCCTGAATTTAGGCTTTTGCATTTTCTAAATGCTCTAGCATTATTCAAACGACTCATACCGAATGGTTTAATACGAAGATGTATATAGTTACAGCCTTAAAAATGAATAATAGCTGTGGTGCCAAAATGTGGTTATAAGGTGGTATTTCAGCTGCAGGACAGCAGTGAAGGCCCAGGTATAAAATGCACAGGCCGCCACTGCCTTTCATTATACTAACGACAATAGGTCGACCGGACACATCCCAGCAAAAGATGAAGAACATCAATTTTACCCGTAGCTTTGCTATATGGAGGCCGATCTCTATAACCAACAGTGCAGCTGGTCTCGAGGTAGACAGCCGGGCTGTATTTATGTCATAAAATAATATTGTGCGAGCTTGTGTTTACATGTATATTTGTGGTCTGCTGATTTTTCAGGGGACAAGACTTTAGCTCGATAGATGTTGACTGATTGGTGTGTTGACTGTTTTTATGCGCTGCTATTTTACACACTTTTTGTAATGTTACTCAAGGGTCAATTCCACTCCACAAAGAGGACAACATCCTGGTCAACAAGAGAGTTGTCAATATGGAGAAGCTGAGTCACCACGACCAGACATCATCACTGGAGGCCTTCCACAGCTTGATCCTGCGTTTAGCACCCAAGGACGTGGTTTTTACTTTCATGGAATGTTGTGCAGGTAATAAATGCACATCATAACACATCATTGCTCGTTGCTCAAACAGCATTTCACAGAGATGATGAGAAGAGGTGCAGCACAGCCAGGATGACAAAAACAAGGTTTTTGAGCATTAACGCATGTAAACATGTTGCAACAGTAAATTGAGATAAAAATATCCACCCGAAAAAGAGCATAAAATTGTCTTTTAAAAATAATTTGATGGGATTACTGAAAATACAATTATTTTAAAATTATTTTTTAAATGCTTCACAAACAATTTGATTCTACTGACAACATGTTTTACATTTGTTTTAAAATATATTTGCTCTATATAACAATGTATATATTTATTAGTGGTAAGGGTGGTACCACCTCCACCACATTTTCAGCCATTAAAAACCCTGAATAGTCCTATATTTGTGAAGATTTTGTAATGGTAATATCAACAGTACATTGTGTGAAGCTGAGCATCAAGCAACCTGACTGGTTGTTCCAATTTGTGTCGAGAGACGGGTTCGAAAGAGTAGAAAACAAGACTACAGCCATGCTAGCGGCTCTCTGAGACGGTACTTGGGCACAGCTGTGTTTTGAGCTAAATGCTGACATCAGAATGCTAACAAGCTAGACGCTGATGCCAAGCAGTTAAAGTGTTTTGCATGTTAATTTTATTACTTTGGTGTGTTAGCATGCTACAATTAGCACAAACAAATTTAACAAATAGCAGTAAACACAAAGTACAGCAGAGGCTGATGGGAAGCCATTACTTTGTTATATTTGGTCATGAACGAAATATTGAACAAAATTATATTTTGGTTTGAATGGTCAAGGGAACACTGAAGTCATCAGAATTCATCCTGAAGGGGACAAGATGTCTGAACCAAATATAATTACAATCCACTCAATAGTTGTAGAGTTTGGACCACAGTGGTGGACTGATAGATCAATAGAAGCATACCGCTAGAATGGACAAAAATTGTAAATAGTATACAATTAGATTGTTATACACCGTACAAGTATTAATGAAACATGTCAGGTCTCAGGATGACCCCTCTTTCACGTTTGTCAATCTGCAGCATTGTAAAGTGTAGGACAGCTCAGTTTTACATTCTGACAGGCAGATCAGAACCAGTCACAACAAAGACAATACTTGATTTTGTCTCCGTGCAACTATTTATGTACATGAAAGCATCTGGTGATATACAGACTCAGTAGAGACATACCCAAACACAGTGTGTCCACATTTAACACCTAACATCAACCACCCCCAATATGAGGTGCTACTGTGGCTCAGAAGGTAGAGCGGATCATCCCTCAATCAGAATATCAGCAGTTCGATCTTCGGCTCCTCTAAAGTTACTATGAGGAACTTTTAACTGGTTTCTGAAACAGTCTCAGTTTAGTCCTGATCCTCTATATCAGAGGTCCCCAACCTTTTTTTCACCACGGACCGGTTTCATGAAAGACAATATTTTCACAGACCGGCTTTCAAGGTGTGGCGGAAAAACACGACGAAATAAAATGATACGATCGGCATGAAAACAAATATAAAATGCATAAATAAATACAACTCACAATAACGCTGAATCAGTGGGAGCCCTGAGCTTGTTTCTCTGCAACGAGACGGTCCCATCTGGGGGTAATGGGAGACAATGACACCCGAAGTGTGTTCCTTATGTCCAGTCTACTCCGTCATTTTGTTTTGATTGCCGTCACTGCAGAACATCCCGCTTCACAGAGGATGTTGGAAATGGAAGCAGGGTTTTCAGTGCTTTAGTGGCGATCTCAGGATATTCAGCCTTGATTTTAATCCCAAACACCAGCAGAGTTGTTGTCTCAAACATACATTTAAGGCCACCGTCATTTACAATCTCCAGCAGCTGATCCTCTGTCTGCCACAAATACTGCAGAGCAGGCTTGGCGCGTCAGAAATACTCCTGATATTTAATTAGACTCCTGATGTTGTCTGTTAAATAAAGCTTTAATTTTCTTGGAAGTTGTAGCTCTTCTTCTGTCTCCTTAGTGGGCCTTTCCCCCTTTGCAAAGAAGCTCTCCAAAAGTTATTTACTAATTTTCGCTAGTTTGCGGGCTTAAATTTTGAGGTAACATGACCGAGACAAGCGTCTTGACATGTCAAGATGCACAGGCGGATGCAATTGCGAGAGAATCCGGTCATTTTTCAAAATAAAACTTATTTCAGACTCTGATAATCAATAAAACGGAAATAATATAATATTTATTCTTTCTGTGCGGCCCGGTACCAAATGATCCACGGCCCGGTGGTTGGGGACCACTGCTCTATATGACCTACATCAGTAAAGAAGACCATCAGAGAGAAGATTGTCCATTTCTATATAATTATTCTTAATGCTTGTCATTGGTGCCACCGGGTCAGATTCTGGTAAATTCAGATGAAATCATGCAGGTTCACCAGAAACTCCTTCAGCTCAGAATCCAGCAGAGACCAGTCCACCGCCAACTGACCCTGATTTGGCTTCACTGCAGCCTTCAACCTACAGCGGGAGCTCCAGGGGGAGGAGGAGAGCGCAGTGCAGGAGCAGTGAGGCAAAGCTCTGGTCCTGACAGGAGGAGGTGCAGAGGCTGAGTCCCCACTGGGAACCAACACCGACAACACGCTGCTGAAGACCCAGGTGATATTGCTGGGCCCGGTGGAGGTAAGGGAGGCACGGGAAAATACATACTCGTGTCTGCTCCACCTCTGAATGGATATTAGTTGTTGAAAGTGCACTGCTTTGACATGTTTCTCATTGACTGAGTCCCATCAGCCAGGTTCTTTAACAATGCCAGAGCAGCTGTCATTACACATGGCTAAGGCTATTTATAGTGTCCGTCTCCCTGACTCAGCATGTTTCCGCAAACATCTTCTTGGTAAAATCGAATTCATCATTATTATTTAACATCAGACACATGATTCATTCACAGTAATCCTGTTGAAACCCATTTCACACTGTATATCACCTGCAGCCATTTCTAGAAAACTTTTTTTTTGTAAATAAATACCCCTTTATGTGTTGGAATAGACATAAGCATAGTTTTTGTGCGTACAAATGGTTTATACATCTAACCCAAAGTATTTCAGTAACCTGGAATTTGGAGTTAAATTCACATTGTTCACATCAGTCAGAGAACTGATCAAAGCTTCAAAAAAAACTGAAAAAGTGAAAAGATAGATGGTCAAAAATATATTTAACCTATCCCATTCCATTCCATGAGAATGGTCGCTGCACTTGTTAATGTAGGAAATCTTCTCACTTGTTAATGTAGGAAATCTTCTTCCCTTTTTAGGAACTCAGAAGCTTTTACATGCTTGGTGACCTAAGTATTCTAAGTATTCTACTGCCAAGTAGAGTTGTGTGAATAATTAGATTTTTCAGTAGATAAAACTTAAAACTAAAATAGTAAAAATTGACAACCAAAGCCAAACCCAATATGTCGTTTGACAAGAGAGTTAACAATAATGTTCTGAAGGTCTAAAGAGAGTTAACAGTTAAGTTCTTAAGGTCTAAAGAGAGTTAACAGTTAAGTTCTTAAGGTCTAAAGAGAGTTAATGGTTATGTTCTTAAGGTCTAAAGAGAGTTAACGGTTATGTTCTTAAGGTCTAAAGAGAGTTAACAGTTATGTTCTTAAGGTCTAAAGAGAGTTAACAGTTATGTTTTTAAGGTCAAAAGAGAGTTAACAGTTAAGTTCTTAGGGTCTAAAGAGGGTTAACAGTTATATTCTTAAGGTCTGAAGAGAGTTAACAGTTATGTTGTTAAGGTCTAAAGAGAGTTAACAGTTAAGTTCTTAAGGTCTAAAGAGAGTTAACATTTATGTTCTTAAGGTCTAAAGAGAGTTAA